ACTCCCCGAGCGCGTAACGTTAAACACGAGTCTTTTAATGCTCTGGTGGCGAACAGAGTTAGAACCGATTACCGCGCAGGCAGGCAGGCAGCCAAGTGACCGAGAGGCTTTGGTAAGTGTTATTTGGGGAGGCAGGGTGTGTGCCTGCCCTCCCCCTCACACCCCCGTCTTTGTAACTAAGTTCTGGCGGCTGAGCAGAAGTTGGGTGTTGCGGGTTTGCATCTGACTGCTCGCTCCGTGAGGCTGGAACATCGACAGCTGAGGGCCGTGGGGAGAGGGGCGCGGGTTGAGCCCAGCGCCAGCGTACCGTGGCTGCCCGAGCCCCTCCTGCCCGGCCGCTTCCCAGCGTGGGGAACACCTGAAGGAATCGTTTCCCAGAGTTAACCTGACGTAGGCAGAAGTTCTCTTGACTTAATACGTTCTGTTTTTCTGCGTGCTGGGCTGTTTTGCATTCTGCTGCAGCTTCCTCCTGGGATGGAGCGCCATGGGCTGCGCTGGGGTCCGGCGAGGCACTGTCAGCAGCACCAGGGCTTCAAAGTTGCTTAGAAAATGGACCCTCTCTTCTCATTTGGCACTTGAATCAGAAAGTTAATTAAAGTCCTTCACCGTGTTACCTAGATTCGGACGTCTGGATTAGCCTATGCCGCGTTGATTATGGGGGGGCAGGGGAGAAGGCCTGGCAGGCGGGTGTGAGTTACTTCACGGCGTACCCGATGATGTGGGGCTGAATGGGCGTCCAGGGCAGCGTTACGCTTATGTGTTGGAGGTTCAGCTCTGAGAATTGGGCCTGTTCGAGATTCTTCCACAACTCTCTCGTTAGGCAGCATCCATCAAAGACGAGTTTCCAAGTCGGATAGCAGATCTGCTGCCAAAAATACTTCCAGCTGGAATGATCAGCGGCCACGTGCTCCAAGAAATAGAAAGCGCCTCCCTGGGGAAAACAAAGTCGTCTTACAGAGCCGCAGCAGGCGCTGGGGTTAGGCCGGACTTCTCCCTCCATCCCACCTCCTCTCAAATACAGACCAGTGCCTGTGCAGTTTGCTCACTCATCACCGCTCTCCCGCCCCTTCCCTGCCCGCTTTTTGCTTTTGTGGTGTCAGTTGGAATTAATGTAAGCAGGAAACTTGCAGAGATTCAAAATGCTTATTCAGAAAGCGTGGGGGATGTACTTAACTTGATCCCTCTTTTATCATAGCAATAGTTTGTTGTCTTTTTGTTTCAATTACAGTTGCTAGCATGTCAATTTTTTCAAAGGAAACTAAGAGAAATGTGTAAATCCTACTCAGTTTTTGACAACCCGGAGGATTGTGTTGAAAATGCCATTTTAAAGGCTGAAAGTTTATTGCAAAAATACCCCAACAAAACAGATTTTTTTAATCTTTACCTTGATTAGTATACTACAGGGAATGCCTTCAGGCATTTAACTAGGCTGGTTTCGTCATACAGGTAGATCAAGCCCCACTTCTAAGAGGCTAAAGCAGTTTATTTAAAATGCAGGCTTTCAGTCTCGATCAGAGAGTTTCCCATCCAAAGGAATCTGGTGTGTGGGGGAGGGACACCACCACAGGAACCAGTTCTGCTTTAAACGATATACCATAATTACTTTCAAAATTAGTGGCAGTTCTAGTTAGCAGACTGTTACTATTAGGGTTTTACTTTTAGGAATAGGACAGACTGAGCAGTACGTTGCTACTGCTTCGCACCATTTAGCAGTGCAGAATAGCTGTAGGTAAATAAACTAGGTCTGGTTTGTAAGCTCAAACACAGCCTTTTTTCTTTTCTTTTGGTGCAGTGCCTCTGGAATAGATGATAAAAGTAATAACAAAACTTTTTATCCAGATACTCACTGGTCTGAGCACTCGCAGTGCTTCCTTCAGGGTGCCGTTCACGTTGCGCACAGAGCAGAGAACCAAGGTGCAGATGACGGCATCCACAGAACCGCTGGGCACCTGGTGCAGGTCTTCTCCTGCAGCTACTAGGAAAGGCTCGTAGTGGACATGCTGGTTCTTGTTCATGCTTCTCGAAAGGCCTTGCTGGAAGTTGGGGTTTATGTCGGTGCATGTGACTTTGCAGCCTGGTGGGTAGAACTGGAAGTTAGCACCGCAGCCGGTCCCGATCTCCAGAAGCTTCAGCTCTCCTGAGGGGCTCTTGAAGTCCAGCAGATTACGAAATAGCTCCTGTTTCTGCTTCTTTGTTTTCCTCTGATGAATTGCAGAAAGCTTCTCTAAGAAGAAAGGAAAAAATACCTTCCTACAGAAAGGTTCCCATATGCCCAGGAACGATAGCAGGTAGATGGGCATGGCAAGCAGCGCGAGGCAGGCACGGCAGAAGAGGATGGTGACCTTGGTCATTTCCAGCGTAGGGCAGAGGATCCGTACGAAGCAAAACTAGTTCTTCTGTGTATTAGAGCCCTTGAAATTCAGACCGAGCTGCATTCACGTACTTCCCGTGTTCCTTTTGAAGTATATTCAGCTGCTTGGATTGATCTAGTAGACTTTTCTCTAAGGCTGATTTTAAAGTCCGGTCACAGGCCAGGAAGGGAAAGGCAGGACTGCATACCAAAGCGTCGCTGTAGCGTCCCAGCTCCGGCAGAAGAGGAGCTGCCAGTCTGTTACGTAACCTGGATAAACTGGGCACTACGACTTCGTATGTAACCACTGGCAAAATGTCAAAAGATGCCCTAATTTGGTGTTCGGCAGTTTCAGGTTACAGGTCATATCTCTTAAAGCAACCGTGTGTTGTCTTTAGTCAGCTGAAGGAAACTAATCTGAACTCCGGACTTGCTGTAGGCGTTTCGTTAGGAGTTTGATTAACGTTTCAGTTAAAAAACATTTGTTTAAGAGTTAATTTACCACTCCGTTTTGTAAGTAGCTGGATGAGCTAGTCAGCTGCTCGCCCTGTGCTCTCTCTGCAACAGCAGCTTTCAGTCTTTCCACTCTGCGGACACCTAAAATACTTTGGTATGTGCATATGGGCTCTTTTGCAGTGAGTGACCTTGCTTGTCTTCGTTATCTTTCAGACCTTTGACGGGAATCATGGAACAGAGATAAAACAATTTATTAATTTAGTAAGCACTGCGTACAGTATATGGCTTGGTTTTACTAACTTCATAAGCTTGAGTCAACAATGAACAGTCTGCTCTATGCTAAATGCATTCAGTAAAACTTCAACTTTGCAGTCATCAGTGCGTTTTCAAAGGACTTGGCAGCAGTGCAGGTTAGCCACTAGCATTTAATTGCTCTGCTCCAGGTGAGCCTAGCACAGGCAAAGAAGGACCTAAGGTCCCTAATAACCACAGAATCACAGAAGGGTTTGGGTGGGAAGGCACCTTTCCAGGCCTTCTAGTCCAACCCCCTGCCATGAGCAGGGACATCTTCAACTCGACCAGGTTGCTGAGAGCCCGGTCCAACCTGACCTGGGATGTTCCCGGGGATGGGGCATCTCCCACCTCTCTGGGCAACCTGGGCCAGTGCTTCACCACCCTCAGCGTGAAACATTTCTTCCTTAGAGCTAGTATAAATCCTCCCCTCTTTCATTTTAAAGCCATCACCCCTTGTCCTATTGCTACAGGCCCTGCTAAAAAGTGTCCCCATCTTTCTTTTCAGCCCTTCTCAGCCCTGGCAGCTGCAGGAAGGTCTCCCCGGAGCCTTCTCTGCTCCAGGCTGATCCCCCCCCAGCTCTCCCAACCTGTCCTCCCAGCAGAGCTGTTCCAGCCCTCTGAAAGGCAGTTCTGTTGTGAATTGCATTGGAGAATTTTGTTCTTCTGTTGATAGCTAGTCCTATGTCCGATGAGTTACCTCCTCCCTCTAGTGGTAATAAAGCAAATATAAAATCCAGCATACGGCGGCATCGTTATTAGACTGCTTTATTAACGAACTCTGTTGTCATACCTTCATACCTCCACCTTGCGGCAACTATATTAGAGAAACAAATGTGAACAATGGGAATTACTTTCTGTGTAGACCAGTTGGATGTGTATGGAGCACAAAATAGAGACATTAATGCATTATTTTCCTATAAATATAACCTGTACTGGGTTTTAATTCCTTGCTGCTATACTGCAGGAAATCATAGAAGAGGGTAAACACTGGCCAAGAGAGCAGCACCTTCTCTTGGTGTCCAGAGTTCACGTTTCTAATGGCACTCCTGGCTTTAAGACAGACCACTTTAAGGTGTGATCTAGATTGGAGGGCAAGTAGAAAATGAAGAATTTAAGCATAGCTAAAACATGTTAGTAGAGCATGACAAAAGGGCTCTAAGGACATGGCTGATGTAATAACAGCATTTTACAGTGCAATTGAGATTTCTGCCATCTGATTTAACAAACGTCAATTTTTCTCGCAGTGTAAAGAGAAGTTCTGGGGTTTTGCTTTGTATGGGGCTGTTTCAAGTTAAGTCTGTGCTGATAGCATTAGCATCTAATGGCCAGTGAGAACTATGCCTAGTGAAGTGGTGGTGTAATGAGCGCTTCCCTGAATAAACTGTCTGTCAGGGAGGACTGTGCTGGCACGGGCGAACGAACGCCTGCTCGTAAATATGTTTCATAATGGGAAGACTGAAATGTAAATGCTCGTACTGGTGCCGTATCTATTATGCATGTGTCCTGTATCGGAAATGTTAGAGGTTGGGCATTATTCTCTGCCCTTAGAGAAACGTTAGCCCTCTGCAGTTGCTTGCATGTGGCTTCTGTTTCCTTTCTTCCCTCTCCCCCTTCTCAGCCCTCTAAGATGCTGACGACTCCTTCAGTTTGTATTGGATCTAGACTTCTTTCCCGTTTGCCTGGCCCCTGCACAGCAGCTGTAATCCAGAAAGCCTGTCTAACAAATGGAAGAATGTGATTCCCAGTTTGAATGTGCTGTAGATGCTTGGGACGTTTTCCATACTTTTATTGTACGGGTGGAAAACCTCCTATAAAGCATGAAAGGAGAACTGAAGGGCGGTCCTGTGTCCTGCAGTGCTCATGGTCATTTATTTTACTGCATACCCAATGATAGGAGGACTAGTAGGAATCCAGTAAGGTGTGATATGAATGCATCTCAAATTCAGTTCTGAGAAATTACTTTTCTCCAGCTCCTCTTCTGTCTCTGGTGAAGGAACACCCATGTCCAAAATACTTCCAGACCTTTTGCCAAAAGTAGGTCTACCTGGAATGATCTGCAGCCATATGCTCCAAGCAGAAAGCTCCACCCTGGAAAACAGTGCCATGAACAACAAAAAAGTAAAAGGACTTAGTTCCACATACAGTTCACCTCTGTATGTAGAATTTTACCTTTTGCATATTGGTAAATACGCCTCTCCGAAGACCAGCCTCCTTTCCTAGATGTTACACGTGCTAGATTGATGTTTGGTTTGAACCGTGAAGTCTCTGAAAGTGCCTCCCATTCAGTTTTCCTTGAAGGTGGTGGTTGTTACTGGATGACTGCACGTTTACTGAGAGGTGCAGTTTAGGATTGTGCAAGAGGCAGTACGGTCTGACGGCAGGAACCGCTGCCACTGGGCTTTTGTCTCTGCCTTGGGTGGTCTTTGACGAACCACTTTAGCTTCCTTGTGTTTCAGTTTTTCTCATCTGAGCAATGTGAATAAACAATTTGTTTATTCTTCATACCAGCAAGGAAAAGGGTTGACTTCTTGGCGTTTATAAAACATGAGAGATAGCTTTAGCAAGCAGAAATCCAGTGTCCCAGGGAGAGAGGCTACAGTCAGTATATGTAGTGTGTAATGGTTCTGTCATTGTCAGTCTTGTGAACCCTATCAAAGTTTAATTGTGTCTTTGACCACATCTGTTCAATGTCTTTCCGTGTTTATAAATAACAGATAAGAGGCAAATCTAGTATTGTAAGCAAAACTTTCCTGTAAAACCTGTTCAGTGAGACCAAACAGAGAAGTCAAAGGTTCAGAGCTGAAGTTTCCTTCCTTTCTTAGAGAAGCGTGTTGGGTATGATCTTACTCCCTCGTCCCTAGTTTTGCTTTGAAAGAGTTTACAAGATTGCCTCGAGGAATTAATTAGGCTTTCAGCCACGCGCAGGGCTGAAGTCTCATTTACACATGGAGGCTCTGGCCAGTTACACAGATTTAGCTCACCTGTGTGGGTAGGATTTGTGTTAAGTTTAATTTAAACTCTTCCCCAGTTATTCTAACTGGAGAAAAAAGTATTGGGAGAGAGATACGTGAATGTGGTGTTTTACAAGCACCACCTTAGAATATAATGAAAATACCTGCTTAGGTGGACAAGGTGGACAAGTTTTAAAGATCAGAGAGAGACTTGCTAGAGAATACATGTGGGAACTATGAACTGCAATTGTTGCTAATAATTTACCTGTGTTACAACACACATCCCTTCCTCTACCCTCCTCTTACTCCACCACTGTACTGCAGTAATCCTGCCTATCCAGTACTGCTCTGCTCCTCCCAGCTCCCAGGACTGCCCAAGTTGCTTTTTTGCGTTTTCTTCTTTCTGAAACAGCTTTGGCCGTGGAGTTTTTGCAGGCTGCCTGGACTGAGCAGCAGTGTCTCACTTGCCCGGGCAGTCGGCACCACCCTGCCGGCACTCCCCACCGTCTGCATGCACGGCAGCACATCAGTCGCGCTGAGGAGTGAGAGGGAAAGCAGGCTGAGCTGGTTCTTTCATCTGCAGCTGAAGCAGCACAAAAGAAAATTACTTATGAGTGGATAAGTGGGTATGATCGTTGATTTTAAACTCTTCCTTGGCCTGGTGCAGGTGATGGTCACATGTAGGTCGGTGCACACCACTTGGCTTACCGCGACACAGGTCGGCGCTGCCCCAGCTTACCAGCCTGAGCACTCGCAAAACCGCCATCAGGACTTTCTTGCTGTTGGTCACAGAGCACAGCACTAAGGTGCACACCACCACGTCCACGGCACCATCTGGTATTTGATGCAGATCCTTGCCAGAAGCAACCACCAAATGTTCAAGCTTGAGGTGCCGGTTCTCCAAGAGGCTTTTGAGGAGGAGCTTTCTGAAATTGGGATTAGGGTCGGTGCACATAAACTGGCAGCCTGGTGGGTAAAAGTGGAAATTGGTGCCAGTGCCTGTGACGATTTCTAGCAACATGAGGTGGCCTGAAGGGCCTGAATTTTTTCTTAAGTTGCTGAACAACTCTTATTTCTGCCTGTAGACCTTATGGTTGTAGATGGGCACCATGTTGGCCCTGATGTATGTGAGGACTTTCTTGTAGAAGGAGTCCAGTAAGCCCAGGCCCGCAAGTACATGGAGGGGCAAGAAGAGGAGCGGAACACGTCGCTGGAGGAAGGGGAAGAACACCATCCCTGCGGCTCAGAGCCAAGGTGGCTGGTGTCAGGCGGCATGCACACCCTGCCCCGCACACCCTGC